GTAAGCTATTGGATGGCCATAAAAGCTTATTTCTTCAAGGGGACCAACTATGTTTGAGAACGTCATTGTTGTGTTGGATACTATTCTTTTCGTCATACCTGCGGCTACCTGCAATTAACCCAATTCATTATTTTCTAAATAATATATATATATATATGTATTAAATCACTCTCAAGTATATATGTATGTATGTATGTATGTATGTATGTATGTATGTATGTATACACCTTGCTTCCAAAAAGTTTGAGTATTAACTTGGCAGTTTGAAATGATAAAATGGCCTCACAAGAGAGCTTCTTGCGGTCAACTATGGATTTAGCCGTGCGAATGTAATCCAGAGGGTCTTTTTGCAAGGCAATGGTGAAGGGAATCAGAATATATCCAATACAATTTCCCCATATGGCTTTAGACCCTTTAGCCATCATATTAGCCAGTACCTGTTTAATTAATTCATTAATTTAATTAATTATCCAATTAATCATGATTAGTAGACTAAATTTAATTTAATTACCTGAATCCCAGGAACTTCTCTTATGTTCGCCATAACAGCTGCCCTCACCCGCATTCTTTTTGGAATTTCAGTCATTTTATCTCCTCTTTTATTCTCACCTGTCAATAATAAATTACCATAATAAATATATATATTATATTGAAATATATAATAACATATTATATATAAGGTATATACCGTATTTCCTGTATATATATTTTGAGAGACCCGCCTGTGTCACCCCGAGTATGACATCATTAACAGTCTACCAAGAAGAAACAATGAATTAGATGTGATTTGTTATGAGATATTATTATGATATATATATATATATACACACACACACACAGAGATATATATATATATATACGTACCACGTTCATGAAATTTTTTACCAGCTTGATATCATCCAAGCTAATCGTCCGGTAAATAAAAACCCTAACGCTGTTATCTCCACCGTCACCTTTTAAAGGATTCTTCGTGTCTTTCAAAAACGACATCGTCGCAGCAAACACCAAAATATCCACCACGCTATTCACCATTACTACCAACCCCGACCAGATCGCCATAAATACCCACCAAAATC